TTATATATTTTTTTCTTATATATTTTAATTTATAAAAAAAAAAAAAATCATTTCTATATAAAAAACAAAATATTAATAAAATTTAAAATCTTATTTCTTGTAAAAACACAAATAATATATTATATATATATTTATGATTATTTTAATAAACAAAATATATTAATTTTTTATATTTAATATTTCCAGAAATTTAGATAATTTATCTTTTGGTTTATTAAGCTTCGTATAGTTCTAAATGTACAAGAAATGAAAAATTTTCTTCTTCTATTAGTTTTTTATAATCATCTATTTTTATATTCCAAATTTGCCATTTTTTTATTTGTTTTTGAAAATTATCTTTGATTTATTTCTATAAATTTACTTTTTAATTTTTATTATTTATCTTTTCTTATTTTTTATTTAAATAGGATAATTATTTTTATTTAATTTCTTAATTTTGTTTCTCTAAAATATCATTTATTCTTATTAAACTTGAATCAAAGAAAAAAAAAAAATATATATATATATATATATATAAAAGTAAATAAATATATAAATTACTAACGTCATGCTTTATATATAAGCTTTTTAAATTATTTCGACAAAATCTATATATTTAGTAATTATTTATATTTAAGAAAAATCTATATTAATTTATTAATAATTTTAATATGAATTTATTTTAATATAAATTAATTAAATATAAATAGAATAATAATTACTTAATTTATATATTAAAAAGTTATTTATTAAATATACTTTATTTTATATTATTATAATAATGGAGAAAATAAATTATTATTTTATTTAATATATTTATGAAAAAAAAAATATATATATTTTTTATTATTTACTTAATCTAAATGTATTTTTTATATATATAGAAACTAATTTATAATTATTTTTGTATTATTTATAATATAAAAAAATGAAAGATATTTACATATTAAAAAAATATTTATAATATACAATTAATATAAAATACATATATATATTTTAAAATTTAAATATTTTTACTTTAAATTTATAATTTTAATTAATTAAATTTTTTATACACAATTTGGTTCTAAATTTATTTTTGCTTGATAATTTTTTAAAAAATATTGAAATCTAAAAAAACAAAATTAATATTATATAAAAATATAATATTAAGAATATAAAAAAACCGCTATAATTAATATAATTATATTTTTGAAAAAAAAAAAAATAATAATCTTTTTTTTTATAAAAAAAAAAACTCAAAAAATTTTTTAATATATGATATATTTTGTAAAAAACAAATAATTAAAATTGTTTAATAAAAAGAATATATAAAAATAAGATAATTAAAAATATAAATTTCATGTTTTTTTATTAATATAATAAAAAAACTGAAAAAAAAATAAAAAAAATATATATATATAAATATATATATATATATATATATGTATATATATATGTATATGTATATATAAATATAATAAAATTTTTACTTAACTAAAATTTTAAAAGATAATTATATTTTATTTTATTATAAATAAATATATAATTTAATCTTTTTTTATATATATTTGCATTTATTACTTTCTTTTTTATCTTTAATATAAAATAACAATGTTTTTTTTTTTTTTTTTTTTTTACAAATTTTAAATAAAAAGAATACTTTTATATTATATATTAAATTATTTTCTAATATATAGTATAATTAAACACATATATAATTTAGTATTTTTTTTTTTAAAAAAAAAAAATAATTATCTTTATATACATAAATAAATATGAATTAAATACAAAAAGTAGTAAATGCTTATAAATACAATTTTTAGCCCCCTCAACTAATTCCTCCTGAATTTAAAATACCGATAATATCAAAAAATAAAAGTAATGAAACATGCTAAATAAACAATAGAAATAATAATAATTATAATTTAGAAAATGATATAAATGAAAACTAATTCAGTTTTGTCCCAAATCAAAGTCATAACAGTGTTAAAAATAGTTAAATAGATATCCGATAATCAACATAAAAGATTTAAAAGATAATTCTATAAAATTCAAATCTTTAAAAATCTTTAAAAAGAAAATCTATATTAGGAAATTTAACCTCCGAGATATAAAATTTAAATAATAATTTTCAAAATACATAAAGTTTAGTAATAAAACGCACATCAACTGCAAACATATAATTCGAAAAAGAATTAACTTAAAATTAAAAAAAATTAAGAATTCTTATAAAAATAATAAATTTTTGTATTTTTTTAAAAAACTCAATTATAGGTTAATTATCCCCAAAATAAATGCAATTTTTAAATGATCTTTCATATTATTTTGAAAATAGTAAGAAAAACTAAACTTATTTAAGATTAAAAACTTAAAAAATAAAAAAGGAGAATTCCATCACTAAATTAATCCTCAATTTTATTTGCTAAATCCCTATTATAAATCCCGATTCTTCAATTCTATATATATGGGATGTTATTAATTTTATAGCTATAATATGCTCAATTACTTATATTCCTATAGAATCGGTAATTGACTCTAATTTTTTCGAAACTTATGGCCATAAATGGATATATTGTTAATATTTGTCTATTGGAGTGTATGTTTTTTCAATTATAATTAGTTTTAATTTAGGTTATTATTATTAAGGATAGTGTATTATGGATAGATAAAAGATATTTAAACATTATATTAAAAAAGAGTTTTTAGTCGACGTTTTAAGTACTATTCCAATAGTGATAAGTATATTGTAACTAAGAGGTTTTCTTAAAATATTAAATTAATTGGTTATTTTAAAAATATTTTGGGTTTAGAAGTTTTTTAAAAAATACTATGAAATTTTTACTTTGAAAAAACTGACTTTTTATACCATATTATTAAAGTTTGCAAATATTATTTTTAAAGTACTTTTTATAGGACATGGTTTTGCCTGTACTTTTCTAGGTTTAGGAACTAATATAGGTGAATAAAGCACCTGGATTACTAAATATAGCAATACTTTATCACATTAAGGATGGTTTTCGTAGTATTTATATGCATTCTATTGGGGTGTAGTTACTATGACTACTGTTGGTTTAGGAGATATATCCCCTGCGAATAAAATAGAAATGGCTACATATACTATTTTTCTATTTATTTCTTGTGGGACATTCGCATATTCTTTTAATGCGATAAGTAGTATTATTTAGGAATTAAATTAAAAAAATAGATAGTTTTCGTAATAGATGAGACTTTTTAGTAGATATTTTGATGCGAAAAATATAAATAAGTAATTATAATTTGAAGTAAGGAAATATTTAGAATATAAATTTGATTTAGAAAAGGAAATTTCGAACGAAGAAGAAAAATAGGTTTTTAGTATTTTGTCGCCTTAAATAAAATAGAAATTAGTTTTAGATGCTAATTTGTAAATTTTATAATTTTGTGGGTTTCTATAGAAAAATTTCTCGGTTTAATTTATTTAGGGATTGGCTTTGAATTTATAAAGTGAAGGTTTTTTAAATGAATAGGTTATTTTTAAATAAAATCATTCAAATTAATAAGAAGATTATAAACTGTATTTTGTAGAAACAGGTATAAATAATATAGATATATATATATATGTGTATTTATATAAAGATATATATAATTGTATTTATATTTATATATATTTATGTCTAATTTATTTTTATTTGCTTCAGGTTAAGTAGAATTGTTTAATGTAAGTTTATATAATAAATAGATTTTATAATAACTGGGCAAAGGAGAGATTTTTGGGTTAGTTGAATTTATAAATGAATTTCCGTTTTATTTATCAGCTTAAACTATTGGGTCAACTAGGCTTTTGACTATTAATAAGTAGAAGTTTTTAAATTTACTAAAATAATTTCCGAACGATTATAATAAGTATTGCATGATTAGGGATAATGTGAAAAATTATTAAAATTTTAAATAGTTATATTTAAATTGCTTTACTTGTGAAAAAGAGGGACATTTAGCTAAATTTTGTAAAAAAATGCATTATTTACCTAATAAATATGTTATTATTTTAAAAGTGAAATTTTTAAATATTTAAATATATATATATTATATATATATATTTATATACTTATTTATTTAATTTTATTTTTTTATTTATTTATAAAAAAGGATTTGTATTAAAATTAATAAGTAAATTAATAAAGGAAATATTTTGATAGGAACTATTGTATTTATAAATTAAAAAGTTAAAAATAAATTGAGAATTTAAAGATTTTCTATGCTTTTATTTAAGATTTAAATGAATATGAATATGAAAGTTTTATTAAATAATATTAAAATAAATTTTTATAAAATGAAAATAATTACGAAGAAGAAAATTTTAATAAAGATAATAATATTAATAATAATAATAATAATAATAATAATAATAATAATAATAATATTAATAATATTAAAATTATTATTAAAATAATAATTAACACCACTTTTTAAAATAAATATCTAATTAAACTAAAAATAATTCTATTTTAGATTTTAATAAGTAATAATTTTCTAATTTTGAATTAAAAGGTGATTTTTTATAATCTCCTTATAAATTAAAAGGAGATTTTTTATCTCCTTTCAAGTTAAAAGGAGATTTATATTCTCCTTTTAGATTAAAAGGCGTTCTAAAATAAAACTAGAACCAGAAAAATTCAAATGAAAATATACCAAATAGATAAATAGAATAGTTTTCTAAGATAGAATCCGATTTTATGAAGCCATTTTAGAAATATTTTCCTTAAAGTAATTTTGATAAAATAATTTAAAGTTTAAATTTTACTTAATAGAAAAAAAAAAAAAAAAAAAAAAATATTCAATATTTTCTTCTTAATTAATAATGAAAATAAATAAAATAAATAAAAAACAAAATTAATAAAATATATAATAATTTTTTAAATTAAAATAATATAAAATTTAAATACTAATAAAAATATGAAAACTATATATCTTTTTTTTTTATTATATAAAAAAAAATAAAAATAGATAATTAGTTTTGGTTTTGTTTTTAATTTTTTTTTTTTTTTTAAAAAAAAAAAAAATCAATACTAACAAATTTAAGTATTATTTTAATTCAATTTTCTATACAAAATAGATATACTTATTGCTGCTTCTGGAAATTCAGTAATAATAGCATCTAATTTCAAATTTTTAATTGCAATAGTATACTAATCAACCCAATCTTTTCCAAAAGTAACATAATCATCTCTAAAAGCCCAAACATGTACCATTAATCCGCTTTCTTTTGCACTTTCTACCGCTCCGCTAGATTACTGTTTTTAGTTATCATATATATCTTTTATATCTATCCCTACAATTCCTGCATATTTAACTATTTCATCAAATGGATGAGGTATACTCTTCATTTTAACTAATTAACTATTCGGTAAATTAGTAATTTTATGCCATAATTAGACTGTAGGTTCATCGAAAGAATGCAAAATAATAGGAGCAGATAAACCTGCTTTTTCAAATGTTTCTAACCCATATTATTTTAACAAATCGACTATTAATTAGCCCTATTCAAGCCCAAATTGCTCAATATGAAAATCTCGATCTTTGGATTCAATAACAATGCCTTATAATCTTGAATCTATATTTCTTGATCCTTATGTTTATTAATTAAATTCCAAAACCTAGTCTATAACTTCAGATAGTAAAGGAAAAGTAAAAAATTTGTTTAATTCTTAATTTCTACCATTTACTTAATTCTATTATAAATAATATATATATATATTTATATATATATATATAATATTTATACATATTTATATATATATATATTTTAAATACCTATCTTATTTTTAATGTTTTTAATTCTTATATTGTAAAATCACATATCCACCAATCATTTATCTATTCTCCATAATAAGTTTTTGTAGTTTTTCTGGAAGAAAATTCAGGTTTTTCCTATATATCTGTTTATCTAGAAAGATATGCATCATGTGATACTAATATTAATTTTTCTTTAGTTAATTAAACATCGAGTTCAACCATATCAACGCCACTATAAAGTGCTGCATGGAAGGATTCTAGAGTATTTTCAGGAAACAAAGATGCATATCCTCTATGTGCAATTACTAGTGGACGGTTTTAGGCCTTTGTATAGTCCCATAATTTTTTATTTTTTAAAAAATTTGAATTTTTAATACTGTAACAGTAATTTATAAGGAGAATAACTAATATTAAATATTTCATATATTTTTTTAATTATATATATAGTTTAAAAAAATAATTATAAAAATTATTAATTATTTTTTTTTTTTTTTTTTGAAAAAAAGAATATTTTAAGATATATTTTAAAAAATTTTCCAAAATTTATTATATATTAGTATTTTTTATATATATAAAAATAAAAAATATATATATATAAAATTATATTTATTTTTTTCTCTTTTCTTTTTTTTTTTCAAAAAAGATATAATTCAATTTATTTTTTAAAAAGTTAATAAAATTCTACTTTTTTTTCTACTCAAAACATTTTCTGAATAATCAATTAATAAAAAATCCTCGTGTATATTTTCCAAATTCTTAACTCCTTATTAATCAAAGACTTGTTTTTCTATCGGGTACAAAAATACAAGCATTCCTCCTTTCAAAATGATTTTATTTGCCACATCAAACAATTTATTAACTAATTATTCTACAGATATAGCAAATGTTTAAGCATAATGAGGTTTTAATATATCTTAATTATTACTATGATCTTAATTATTATCTTTTGAATTGTTATTATCTTATATAATAACATTATTATCTTAAATATTATCTTTAATATTTTTCTCATTATTTTTTTAAAAATTATTATTATTTTTAAAAATTTCTTCTTTCTATAATTAATTATCAACTTCTTCTTCAATATCCTTTTAATTAACTGAAGTTTTAACCATAGCCCTAAATCCATAAGGCGGATCACAAATAATAGCATCAAATGCCTTTATATCTCTCAAAGATATATTATTACAATCCATTCTAATAATTTCAGGACAACTTAACCCATATTATATAAAATTAACATGAATTTTAGGCATATAAGTATGACATAAATCATTATTTTCTTAATAAAACTTCGATTATTTATTAAATCTTCCAACTCCCATTCCTTAAATAACTCTAGGATCTATATCTGATCCATAAGTAATAGCATTATAAAAAGAAGCAGGAATAAGTAAGGATCCAGTACCCACAAAAGGGTCAAAAACAATTTAATTTTACTTGACTTGTGCTTAATTAGTCATTAAAAAAGACAACATATGATCTGTGGATGTAGGACCTAAATAAGCTCTGTTTCTTAAATCAAACTATAGCAAATAATTTTTCTTTTGGGAAATTCTAGCAGAAGATTTTGCCCTTGCTACTTCCACTCCAAAGAAAATTTCTATCAAAGCTTTTTCTTGTAATTTTTTTTCTCGCACAAGTGATGAATCAATATGTCTTTCCATTAACCAGAATATTTTGTCGGGATTTTTAAATGAAATTTTGCCATTCATTTATAAACTTTCAGTTAATAATTCGATTTTTTATATTTTTTCTTATTAGGAAACGCTTTGATTGTATAAATCAATTTCGAAAATAAATTTTGTGTTATTATTTGTATGTATATTAAGTTTTTATAAATCGGTATTTTTTATTATTTCTTCGTATGTACATCCTTCGGAAAGTACTTCTATTAAAACATCTATTAGTATTGCCCTTTCCATTATTTAATTTGCTATTTATTAGTTTGGTAAATGTAAATATACAAATGGAAATCTAGAAAAACATGTATGGCGGATTTCATAAGGGGATTCTGGTAAAGGCTTTTTATAGTTTTGGATATTTTTATAGTTTATATGAGAGTTTTATACTACTTTTTAGATATTTTTATTGCTAGAATCAAATTCGTATTAGAAAACTTCACGCCAGTCTAAATTGTGCATGCGTAGGAGGGATTTTAATTCGGGAAGACAAAAATCTATGTAACCGGCAATTTATTTAAATTAGGCAAGTATTTTCATTTATTAAATTATTTTTTCGTGTGTGTGTGTGTAAATTATATAAATATATTTGTTTTAATAAGCTTAATTAGTTTTTATATAAATAAATATTTGTATATATATATATAAATATGTATATATATATATATATATATATATTTATATATATTTATATATATTTACTTATAAATCATCAAATTAATATTAGTTAGTTTTATATAAATATAAATTAACAATTTTTTTTTTTTTATATATTTTAAGAAGAAAAAATAATTTAATTAATTTAATTATTTTATATTGATTTATATTTGTATTTTGTATTTTATTTATATATAAAAAAAATCAACTTAATTTTTATTAATTTTTATAATATATTAAATAAAATTATTAAAATAAAAAAATTTCATATATTACCAATAAATTAATTCTTTTAAAAAAAAATATATATATATTCAACAAAAGGTTTTAAAAATGTGGAAATCTTATTCATATTAAAAAACAGTTAATTTATTTATTAATTTTTAGAAATTATATATATTTATATGCATTAATAATTATATCTTTTTTATAAAAAATAATAGTTTGGATAAAATTAATATAATTACTAAACAATTTAAGACGAAAAAAATTAAAATAATTAGATAGATGATAATGATAAATATCAAAAAATAAAATCAAATAGTTTACATAAATGCTTTAATCTTTAAAAATAAAATTTAATACAAAAAGATAAAAATAATCAAAGTTAGAACGATTTTTGTTTATAAAAGAATTAAATATAATATCATTAAAAAAAATAAAATCAATATTAGGCAACTTTAAAAAAAAGTTTATAATAATATGATAGTAATAATTAAAAGAATAATAGTTAACTAAATATGAATTATAGATCCAGTCATTTAAAAAATTAAAGTAATTCTTTGCATATATAAAAAACTAATTAAGTAAGAATTCAAAATTTAGAAAAATAAAAATTAAGTATTGATTTATAGTAATATTTAAAAGAGGAATATAGAAATAATAGTTTTAATAAAGTTTAAAATTAAAAAGAAAAAATAATTTAAAATAATGTAAAAATAAATATATAATATAAAAATTTAAAGTGAAAAATATTATAAATAAAGAAAAATTATAATTAAAAATAATAATAAGAATTAAATAGTTGTGAAAATAAAAAAGGAAAATAAAGTAAAAAAATTAAATATATAAATAATATACAATTGAAATAAAAAAATTTGATAATAATTATTATATAAATATATATATATATATATTATATTTATATATTTATTTACATTTACATATTTATTTATATTTTAATTATTTTTATATAAACATATATATTTTAATTTATATTTTTTATTTAGGCTATAACAATAATAATTATTTTCATTAGAATTATTATTAAGTTGAACAATAAATTATATCGAATCTATAAAAATTTAAAAAAGATTATTAAATATTTAATTATTTAAAGTATATATATAAAAATTAATATTAATTTTTATTATAATATATAGAAAAGAAAATAATTTTGATTTAGAAATATATAAATAAGAATTATAATAATATAAATAAAAATAAAGATTATATTAATAATATTTATAGTAAACAATTTAATAAAATAATATTTTGAATGAGCATAATTCAAGCTAATTTATTTAAATACTTAAAAAATCATAAGAAATCATTCTAGATTAATATGATATTACTTATTAAAAAAATTATTTTTTAAACACTTAAAAATAAATAAGTTAAGCTTAAGAATTGGACATATATAAGAAAATTAAATATTATGATAATTAAAATGATTTACAATAAAATATTAAAGATTATAAATAAGAAAATAAGTATAAACCTAATCCTTGCTCAATATAATATGGTAAATTTAAAAATAATTTTTAAATAAAAAATTCTTAAAATAATGAATAAAAAAAATAAAACATAATTACTTAAAAAAAATATAATGATAATTTTATTATGAATAATGAATAAAACAAATAAATAAACTTATAATTATTAAGTAAAGAAAATGACTCTTAAATAAATTATGAAACTCCAAGATTTTAAGAATAAAATAATGAATAAAATATTATAAATTAATAAAATGAATTATTCTAATTACTTTTGAGAAAATTAAATGAAAAATATAAATAGAAAAATACTTATATTAGTTTATAAGAAAAATAAAGAATATTATCAATATAAAATTTATGATAATAATAATTATATTTTATTTAAAAATAAAAAATATTTACTTATAAAATATATAATGTTTATATATATATGTATATTAATATATTCAAATTATCTGTTTATATTAAAAATTATTTAGTATTTGTTATTTATTATACTTAAAAGATATGCTAATTGGTTCATTTTTACTAATAACAAGATTCTCATTATAAAATTATTCTATTTTATATAACATAGGCGTCAATAAATCTTCACTAAAAGTTCCAACTCCTTTATATGCCGGAAGTTTATCTATTAATTTATTTAGTTCGGCTACATTTTATTAAAGATTTTCCAAAACTTCTTTATAATTTTAATTTATTTCTTTTGAAAATTTGATTGTATTTTTTATATTTTTTATCAAAATATCGCTCTAGTATTATTTTTAGTTTATAATTTTTGAAGCAAATATATTAGGATTTGAATAATATTTAAACTCTTAGTTAAGCTGAAATATATCATCTTTAAATTTCTTAAAGGATTCTACACTTTTTTAATAATTTATTAAAAAATTATCAAGCCTTTTATATGAATCTTCCTATATTCCAATCAATGTTTTCATAAATTTATTTATAAATTCTTATATATCCTATTCTATTTAAAATTTTTGAGCTTTTATGTAATCTTTTAATTTTATTAAATGAGAATCACATTCTTCAACCCATCTAAGTAAATTTTGATTCTCTTTTTTTCCAATTGTTTCTTGATATAATTTATATAAAAGCTTAGAATTTTTTTCTATGTCTAAACTAAAATTAATTATAAAATCATCTTTTGATATTAACTTATGATGAGATGGATGGTAACATAAATCGCATTTAAATTAAGACATTTAATCACAATGTAAATCTTAGCAGATATTATTAATTTCATTGTTTGGATGGGAATAACATTTTAAATCTACTTTTGGGAATATGAAAATATCTTATTCTGACATATATTTTATAATAATGTTATGTTATGTTATGTTATGTTTTATTTTATTTTATTTAATTAAATTATATAAAATTAATATATAAAATAAATATATATATACATATATATATAAATATATATATTTATATATAAAATATATTCATATATTTATTATATTTTTATTTTATCATATTATTTATTTCTTAATTTTCAATTTACATTTCTTTAGCTGTTTCACAATTAAAATATTTTCTAGTTACTTTAACTACATTTTTTGTAGTATAAATAGTTGTATCTCTATTTCTGTATTATTTTTTATATTATATTTATTCTATTTTACTATTTTCATAACGTTTATTAGTTTCTGGATCAATCCAAAATTTTATAGCTTCCCCTTAAAAACTAACTATTTGTAAAATCTTGTGAATAGTTATTTCTAAATTATTTTCAAAAGTTTACGGATCTGCTTCAAATTTCATATAATTTATGTTAAATTTAACTCTTCCAAAAGTAAGTCTAGGAATCCCTTTATTAGCTATAGCACAAAAAATGGCATCTGCATGATGTTTATTTTTTTCATGTTCATAAATGACATACAAAATTAAATCTGAATCAGCAATTCCTACTGTTTTATCTTTTTAAGGAATTTCTACATCATAACATAATTTGTGTTCAGTGTAAGGAAATATGTTATTTCTTATAAATGGTTATTCTATCAAAAGTCTTTAGAAAAAATGTTTGATGCTTCCATAATACTTACTATGTAGTCTTTTTATTATTGAGTTATTCCCAAATTTACTTTATCTATTGTAGAATAATCTATAGTTTCTTATAGGCTTTGTATAAATACTTGTTTAAAGAATTCTTTATTCATGGTTTTATTTTTCCGTTTTTTCATAATGTTCGTACATTTTCTAATAGTGATTTTTTATATATACTCTCATGACCGCATTGACGGCTAGAATAAATAAATATACATAACATTAAAATAATGATATGAATTTTTTTTTAGTTTTTAAAAATTTTATTAATTTTTAATTGTAAAATATATACATTTATTGCGTATATTTAAATATTTTTATTTTTTTAATAGAATTAATTTTATAGATTTTTATATTTTTTAAACATTTATAAATAAAAATATTATTTAATATAAATTTATATGTATTTATAAATTAATTATTTAATTAGTAAATACTTTTAATCATATAATAAAAATAAATTTATGTGAAGTTATTTAAAATTTCCTAATTTTTTAATATATAAATTGAATAAATATTATAAATATATATAAATAATTTTTCAATAAATATTAATATATATTAAAAGTTAAATTATAAAATTTATAGTGAACTAAATTTATT